GAACAGTGTTCTGTGCCCACTAAGATTGGCAACATCATCCAATCACTTTTCGAAGATGTCTGGACTACAATGGGAGTCAAGGGGATGCCTTCATGTTCCATGACTGGGACGCGTCCGGGAGATCCATTGGCAGATCTCTTGTGGTCAATCGCATTTGGAAGTGTAATCAGGCAGTTAAAGTCTGACTTCCACGAGTTAGACATCGTAGTTCAGCTGGACAGTCGAAGATTTACGTGTCTTCCAGTATGGGCCGATGACCTCTGTGCGTATTAGTGTCACACCCAGATCCGTTCCGATTGATCGAATTGGCAAGTATTGCATGTGGCCGCCTGTCAAAGGCATTCGCAAGCTTGGCCGTTGAACTAAACCTTGGTAAAGGAAAGACCGAAGTGATCTTCAGCTTCCATGGGCTGAACGCCACCAAGGCAAAGCGTCAAGTCGCGATTGACATGGGCAACCATATCCCATTTCAGGACTTTGAAGGCAAAAATCGGTCCGTACATGTTGCCACGACTTACAAGCATCTCGGAGGTATGGTTGGTAGAGCTCACCAATTCCGAACAGAAGTTCGTTCTAGGGCGGGGATTGCAGGAAGTGCCTTTCGTGCCCTACGTAAGCATGTGTTCGCCAACCGAGCCATCTCCACAGAAGACAAGCTGCACATTTATGATGCAATCGTTAGATCTAAATTCTATCATCACGCATCATGTTGGTCATTTTCGACGCAGCAAGAATGGCAAGTGTTCGACACCGCTGCATTCAGACTACTGAGGTCCCTTGCAGTTGTTTTGCATGGATATGAGTGGAAGGAAGCATCCAATGAAAAGATTGTGGCCAAACTAGGAGTTCTGCATCCGAGGCAATTGCTGCGAATTGAAAGGTTGCGGCAATTTCAGAAGATTTGTCAGTTTGCCGATGCAGATTTTTGGGCAATCTTGGATGGTGAATCAAACTGGCTCCATAATATGCTATATTCTGACCTGATCTGGCTTAAAGAGAATCGTCTGTGTCCAGATTGGTTGTGTATTCCTGAGGTCTCACAGATCCAGAGTCTCGTCACAGCGTTGGCTGACAGAGGGACCGAGTGGAAGACGCATCTCAAACAGGTCGGAAAAGCATGCCGTAATTACGCTCATAGACTCCAGGAAGCTCATGAGTTCGAATGCAAAGCACTTATGACGCTGAGACAAATTGGGGTCGCCTCTTTCGAGCAGACACATGGTAATGTGCAGAGAGCAGTCAAGGGTTCCTTTCGTTGCCAATTCTGTGATAAGATTTTTGGCACACTTAAAGCCCTTGGAGTGCACAAGCATAGGCAGCACGAGGTCTTTTCTGCACAGTATTATACTATGCAAAAGGAGACGCATGCCCGGTCTGCTTGAAATATTACGGCAACAGTGAAGCGCTTCAGCAACACACATGCTGGCACATTATTCAGGAAAGTGATCTTAGTCCAGAAGACTTTGGCGGTGACAGAATTGCCAGAGAACTAGAGATTCCGCCGCTAGCTGGGGTGCAATGTGCAGGACCCAAAGCATGGTGGTCTACACTTCGACCTATGATGCATACGGAATCTCCGTGCGGTGAAAATGTTGAAGCTTTCGAGGATGCTGCAATTCATTACCTTCTCAGCCTTGCTCCTGTTGAAGAAGAACTGCATTCATTTTTGGATGGCGTTAAAACCGTAGCATCCTTTTTGCTTCGCACTTTCGGACAAGAATGCCTAAAACAGGAGGGCGCGATCCGCCTGGCAAGTAAGACCATTGCAATATGCTCTCCTGAACATAGAAGATATTTTGGCCGTGTTTGGGATGTCCTGAAAGGATTATGGCAGCAAGTCTCCGCTCCAGCGGAATATCTCGACTGGAATGGGCTCATTTGCGGAAACATAGCGTTTGTTGTTGACTGCAACTTTCGTGCCTTATCCTTGGAGCGAGCCCCCAGACAAAATGTCAAGTATGTGCTTCACTTGTTCAGTGGACGCAGACGCGAAGCAGATATCCAGTATTGGATTGAGGAGCTTGCAAGACAGACGGGTCATTCCGTGATCTGTCTTTCGTTCGACCTAGCAATAGATGAACGATGTGACCTCCTAGATGAGCACGCACAGTCATGGTTGCGGCAGATGATCAAGGCTGGTCGCATCCTTGCACTCATTGCAGGTCCGCCATGTGAAACATGGTCGCGAGCAAGAGGAGTTTGCCTTCCAGAAGAGAGCTGGTCAGCCGAGGGTTCTCCGATCCAGTCAAGAACCTTGGGGGCTGGTTGGTATGAGCCAGCGAGAACATACTCAGTGTCTTGTCGGCTCAAGGCTCCTACAATTCACGATCATCTTAGTGCTTGACTGCATTGCTGCCGCAACAAGCTGCTTGGTTGAGCACCCTGATGAACCATATGACGATGCCAGTTTAGCGTCGATTTGGCGCTTGAGGGTTTTACGTGCAATGCTGGCGCTGCTACCTATGAGAAAGCTCCGAGTCTGGCAGGGACAGTTCGGGGCAAAATCTCCGAAGCCCACAGCATTGATGGTTCACGGCCTTCGAACACTGGAGAATCGTCTTGAAGAACAAAGATCGTTCGAGATGCCTGCAACTCGATCGATAGGCCGCACGGTAGAGGGCACCTTTGCAACTAGTGAGCTGAAAGAGTACCCGCCAAGACTGTGCTTGGGCATAGCGCATGCGGTCGTTGATAGCTTCAAAGAAGCAAGTGCAGGCGGCCCGGATCCCGAGGAGATTGAGCTTGGAGGTGACGCCTTCCTTGAGACCGTCACGCGGCCCGACTTCGGCGGCAGACGGTAGGACACTCCGACCACTCGGGTCGTCGAGAGAGGTTTCACCCCCCCAAAGTGGCAACAAGACAGTGAGTCTGCGAGCCCCCCCCAAAAAATGGCCTCCAACCTAGCGATGGAACATCTTGGAACATGTTGCTCAGCTTTGCCCAAATTTAGGCCTCAAGTGGATGAAGGCGGCAAGTGGGACTCGAAGGCCTGCATTGCAAGAAACTCAGCAAGGGGCGAGAAAGAGACACGATATCGAAATATGCAGATATTGTAGAGTATAGAGATGTATGATTAGGGAGCAAAGCAGCAGCGAGAGGCTTGTTTGATGCGAAGGGCAAGCACCGAGTTAGCAGCTAGCATGAGGTAACTCTTTTCGTGTTACTATATATGTTTCACTACTTGTCAATGTCGACTGTCCGCAACAAGGTGAAAACCAATCTTCAGATGTCACCTCCTCAGCGCTCTTCCGTTGGCAAACTGCTCTCGATGAAGAACCTGAGGATCTCTACCCGGCCACAACCTGGAGACAAAGTGAAGCTCTCGAAGGCATGCTTTGGTATTTTGTCCATAATATTTTGCTGTGTTTTGCCTCAGCGCAGGCCTACAAACAATTTGACGGGGAAGATGGCTGCTTGAAGCCAGGCAGGACAGAGCAAGGTTGTTTTGTCCCTTCCGTGTTTCTCATGATCTGCGTGGGTCTTGTCAGGTCAGATTGGAACGCTCGTGGAAGATGACCGCCTGGGGCTCAACCTTATGTGCTTGAAGCAATGAAGCTCCAAATATGCAGCTCAGGCACATCATGCCCGTTTCTGGTTGAGGGGCCCAATGGCTGCTCCCACTGGTACAATGACGGTGCTCTTGTGGCTGCGGCCTCGGATCAGTCGCAAGCAGGATCAGAAGTGCATAAACGAAAGAGACTCGAATCAGGGTGATAAAAAAAGAGCGGAGCGTGCACTGCAACTTCCCACGCTTGGTGGGAGGGTCGTTCTTGAGTTGCCAGTATCTGGCCCTTTGCATGAGGTTGTGAACAAAGAAGACAAAGAGCTTCTCACACCACTTGGAGACATGCTCCTTGAATCAGCCAATCAGTTTCATTTCCTTTCATTTCCATTTTTGGAGCTGCAAGGTTTGAAGGGGTGGCCTTGCTTCGCTTCCCCGTCTGTCTAGCTCTCGGATAAGGAGAAGGGTTGGGAGCATGTGAGAGGACACACGTGCCACAAGGTGAAGGACACTGGTACTGCGAATTGGAGGTGAGCAAACTCGGAAAGTGCAAGCCTCGGTCCTCACTGCATGACAAGATGTATCATGATGTATCAGGGTTGCTCATATTTGCTTATGACACTGCGGGACTGGATTGCTAACCTTGTATTGGAAAGGTCCCAGCCATGTGTTGGATGGGGCTTGCAGCACCTCTACAGCAAGAAACTTTTGTTTGCTTTGTTGCTGTGACAACCTGCAACAAATACAATATTGTTATACAATGTTTGTCACAAGACTCAGGAAGAAGGGCTCCCCGAAAATCATCCGAATGATGGCCATCGGTGGAAAGAGTGCAGCTTCTAGGCAGCACCCATCCACAGCTTGAATAGCTGACAGATTTTAATTTGCAAACATTGCAGTTGCTTGCATATTGAAAATCTAATTTACGATATTTTTGAGTTATAGTGTGGAACTTGTAGTTTAATCTTGTTGTTCTAAAGCTGCTGAGGTCAAGTTGGATTTGGGCAACTGAGATGCAACAAATCAGCGGGGCACCATGCTCACCCGAAGCCATTTTCAGACAAGGCGAAGGGGCACCGCCCAGAAAGAAGAAAGACAAGAAGGAGGAGAAAGAAAACGCAGAAGAACAAGATGGAAAGGACCCGTTCTGCACACTTCCACACTTTCTACCTTTTTTTCTGACCCTTATGCCAACACAGCTCTTGCGAGGAGGACGAGGACGGTTTTCTGCTTCTGGACAATCAGCTTTACTACAGCCAATTGCACTTTGCATTTTCTTGACACCTCACTTTCCGGATCAAGCTTGAGTGAGATACTGTCAATTTTATGATAATAACAATAGCAATAGGGAGGAGATAGAACCAACATGAACCAACAAAACAAGTGTTTTTGCTGCACTGAACCAACCAGCTTCATGCCATCTCATGCCCATTGGTGCCGAAATCCTGATGGGTTGGCTTTGGGCGACGACCTTTGCAGCTTTAGTTTCAGGCTTGGAGCCCCCCAATGTGCAGAAGGCCTTGGAAGATTTGGTGCGGCCTGGAACTCAAGGGAGCCTGGCACTCAGAGGCTCCAAGCGTTTTCAGGTGACAGCGATTTACAAAAATCACAGCTGCCAGTCCAACTGTGAGGAGCTGATTTTCATGTGCTGCAACAAGTGACTTAGCTGACTTAGCTGTCAGACTACATAGATAGGTAAGTTTGATGATCCATGTGTTTTTATCAGTGAATAACGCTGTTGTCAGCACTATATGTTATATATATATATACACACTATGTTTGCGGTCACTTTCCCAAAATAGCAAGTTGCTCAGCTCAAGGAGCTGGAGGCAGCCCACTTCCACGGATACTTGGCGCTGCTATACTTTTTCGGCATAGCCGACTCCAGTGGAAAGCTCGAGTTTCCAACAGGCAGTCACCTCAAACTCTCTCTCTCTCTCTTTGTCTTGATGTTTTGGCGTGATGGCCAGTGTTCATTGTTCGCAGTCTTTTGAACCCACATTCTGCTGACTTGCAAACTCCAGGCTTTCCAAGAGATGTTCGGAAAGGCAGGGAACATTTGGCCAAGGCGGTTTCCAAACGGAGAATTTCGACCCAAGATCCTTGGACCTTCACCTTGCTGGGATTTCTTCTCTCAATTGAGAGTCCATATGTGGCACAGATCGAATTGAAGGTCTTAGAGGGTCCGGAGGTTGTGATAAAGAATCCTGAAAGCATCCTGAATGACAACAATCCACGCAAAGACAGACAACGCCAGGGTCTCTCTATGCTAGACAGAGTGGGCGCCGCATTTTGGGAAGCTGCTGAACGAAAAGAACTCATAGGCAGCATAGTTTTTGCTTCTATGGTACGACGTGGTCTGACAGACGTTCCACTATCGTGGCAAGTTCGCAAAGAAAACGAGCCTTTGCTTGGCCGGAGTCCTGACCTCCTGATTCCAAAACGAGCCCTTGCGTCTGAGCGTGCTTGCCGCGCACTTGGGGTCTTGATTGGGCCTGCAACTGAAGCATCAAAGAACGAAGAACCATTGCTAGACAAACAAGCGCTCAACTGGAAGGCGGACACTTTGCAGTGCAGTGTGTGAACGTTTTCGACATGTGTAATCACACGCATGACTCACGTGATACTGATACTGAAGCAAATCGAACATCCACATGGTCCATATATAATCATGAATCATAAAGAGATATAGCCCCTGACAGGTATGGCGTCATCGGCAACAGCGTCCAAGCGACGACGACTGGCAAACCACCAAAGAATATGTTGACGCTATCAAGCATGGAGCCGATGTCATGAAAGAGGCAAGTAGCATGCGGGAACTAGCAGCCGTTCATTTCCAGGGGCATACTGAGGCTGAGGTTCAACCAAACAAAACGCTGGCTGAGAGCTACTGGAGCAAAGCAGCCAAAGAAGGTGACTTATGGTCCGCTTGGCATGCAACTTTGAGCTATATTCGAGATGGGAATATGGACGAAGCTGTCCCATACCTGGACATTGTCAGCAATTCGAGCTTGATGCCATTGAAGTTCATGGCTCTCCATTTCAAGTACAGATTGGGGATAGGTGAAGTGAAAGATCCAAAGATGGCAGGCAATTTCCTGAAAGCTTCGGCAGATCTGGGCAATTCAAACGCTCAACTGCTTCTTGCCCATAGCTACATGGGCTTCAAGCAAGGGAATATGGAGGGCGTGGAGCCACCAGGTGGTCCGAACAAAGCGGCTGCTCTGACTTACTACAAGGCTGCTGCAGCAAATGGCCGCTTGGTCCCCAAACTCAATGCAGGATTGCTCATTGCACAAGGTGCCGACTTCTCTGTGACAGATCGCGATCTGCAATGCGCCATTGCATATAAAGAGCTTGCAGAGGTAATTTATGCAGCCTATCCTCCTGCACACCTACTCTTTGCTCATGCAAGAAGAGCCTTTGTTCTCGGAGATGTGGAGGGAAGTCGCTTGCGTTTCGCACTGCTGAGTGACGCCGGATTCATTCTTGGACATTTGAATGCTGCTTGGTTGTGGGATCAAGACTCAATTCCGCAGGTCCCTTTCTGGGACCGCTACAGATTCCACCCGATGTCAAAGGAGGCATTCTTATACTATCGGCGAGCCGCTGTCTCCGGTCATACCCCGTCAATGACAGAGCTCTCGCTTAGACTACGCAGACACGCCGAGAGCATGAAGTTGGTCTCGAAAGAGCTTCATTCACAGCAAGGTTCGTATGAGACTCTCATGCAAAGTTCGTACCGTTGGACTGCCCTTGCTGCTGAGCTTGGTGAGGCCAGAGCTATTTTTGACCAAGCTTACATGCTCCAGTTTGGCCTGGGAATAAAGAAAAACAAAGTATTGGCGCAAAAACTCTACAACCAGCTGGCAAAGGGTGACACTCACAGCTGGCCTGCCAGAATAGCTGCTCTAAGTTGGCTCGGGCTCAATTCTGCTAGGGACTACTTCCTAGGCCTTCGTGAAGCTGTGGCACCACTCCTGGACAGTCTGAGGGGCTCCTTCGCAGCGGCTGCAAGATCTAGCTTGGAGAACACAGGATTTTCTCAGCAAGAGCATAGTGCAAACAAGCAGCCCCTTCGGAATGCTTGTGTTTTCGCGAAGGGTGCAGAAGGATTCTTGCTGTAACATAGGTGCCTTTCCAGTTCATTCATACTATAGAAACATCCAAAACCCAAATTATGCTTTTCTAATTGTTGCAGTCCTTGGAGACATTCATGAAAATACCCACCAGCAAAGTACAGCAAGCGTAACCGCCGAGCTTGGGAAACAGCAGAGCAACCACACGTTATTTTGTGGTGTACCTCTGCCACGCAGACAGATAGGGAGTGCCTCAAAATGAGATAGGTATACTGCATGTACAGTACATTGTCTCTTTTTGCAGGCCTGGGATTAGAACACGAACTCAGCAACAGAATCGTGAGAATTAAGCTTGCATAGGAACAAGAATGTGATGAGCAGCAGCAGCAGAAGTGCAATGATTGCAATTTTCTGTTGTAAGATTTGCCGGGGCGGGATAGTAGACGTGCTTAATCGTGCTTACACAAGGACTGAATCAAAAAGAAGTAAGAAAGACTAGCACGGCCACGGAGAGAACAAACTCGAAAAGATACCACTGGCTGCCGATCCTTCTCGTAGCGTGACTGTCTCTCTAAAAGGTGGCAGGGCTGTTGCGCTGGAGATGGCTGCTTTGTTGCTTGGAACTTTGTGGGACATTCTTGCGTGGGAGTGTATGAAACGCAATTCAATGAAATGCAACTCCAGGAGGAGTGGCTCTGTTTGCAAAGATGCTGCCTATTGCATACAGTATCATACAATACTTTGTTCGACAATGGACACGCATTCCATGTGACAGCTAAGGAGAGCATGCTGAGTTCACAACAAAGGGCCGTCTCATTTTTGTGCGTTGCAAGATGGCAGTCTAGCCAAGCAGATGTTCAATGAAGCTCAGTTCCAACGGCTGGGCTTTTTGGCGCACTTTTCAAGTGCTACTGCTCAGTAGATTCAAAGGAGCAGTCTTGCTATTGAGCATCGTGGAGCTGGTGTACTGTAGAATCTATTATATAGAATCTTCTAGGACACATCACCACCCAGCACCTGTGAGACCAAGAATGGTGAAGCTGTTGAAGGCGATAGGTGCTCCAGACCATGGCCCTTGGTGAAGGTGCTAGTCGGCCAAGAAAGATGAACGAGGTAGTGTCGGTAGTGTCTCTGCGAGTGTCTCTTGGAGCGATGAACACGGAGAAGAGCAAGTGCAGAGACAGAGACTGACGGCGTTGAGACCAGCAAAGACCTTCGATTCTTCGCTGGGACTCAGGCTGAAGGATACAAAAGTTAACCGGCTTGCAGTACGTTGTGCATTGTGATGTTTTATTCGGTATAGCACTCAGGCAAAGCGTGCCTGTCTTTCAGGCAGAGAATGGACAGGCTGAAGCTGCTGAAGCCGAGGGTGAAACTGCCAAGGCTGAAGCCGAAGGCGAGGCCGAGGGTGAAGCTGCTGAAGCTGATGGCGCCAATGGCGAAGCCGAGGATTGGGAACAACATGGCACCAATTGCAATAGGAAGTGCTAAGTGTACTTGTTACTTGTCGATTTAAGCTCTTCGAGGAAAGTAAATCCAAGGAGGAAGCCCAAGGCAAATGACCGCCACACAGACACACGACACAAACAGTTGAAAACTTCTACTTTCAATATTATCGATGCAGATTTCTTTGTCCCTATGTGGTTCTAAGTTCTTTTTGCAGGCGATGCTGAGGAGGTGCCACTGTGGTGTTCAGTTTGACAAGCTCTTTGAACACATGCACGAAACAGGACAAAGCTGCAGCTGAGGTTGACCAAGAAGGCGCAGCGCAATCACAGGAACGGATACCACATCACTTGGTTCAAGTGTTTCGTCGCAAGGCACACGAACACGTGCGAGAAAATGCTGGTTAAGCAATGTTAAGCATCACCTTTAGCCCTTTACTGTAGCATCCTTTAAGGCATTATTATGCATTGTTTGCATTGTTGTTGACCAAAAGGTAGTCCACTGTGTCGACTCGACTGAATCAAGAGACATGCCTGTACTAAAAAACGCTTATGTTTTCAATCCCACCTCTTCTTTTCTGGAACATGGGCCTGGTAGGAGTTTCGCGAAGTGGATTCGACTCGCACAGTTTGCAGAACTGAGCCTAGTGATCGGACAATCTGACCACACAGGGGGCCACGCGAAATCTCAGGACCCAGTCGACCCAGCTGACCCAGTTGACGCCGACGAACCGCCGCCACCACCACCACCACCATGATGACGACGACAACAACAACAACTACTACTACTACTGCTACTACAACAACTACTACCACTGCCACTACCACTACCACTACCCCACTTCCATCACACAAAGTCAATCGGGCGAACTGAATCAACTGGGTTCAACCGGGTCAATTGATCAACCGGGACACCCTGTTCAACTGGGCCCTAACTGGGCCAAATTGGGTCAACCGGGACAGCACATTTACCGGCCCCTACGCCGACGCACTCAATTTGTGTGTGAACTTTGGAGGCGGAGAGAAGACAGAAGAGGCTGGGAGCGGTCAGCAACAAGTAGTAGCGTCCTTGCTCCTAGTAGCGATGCCCTTGCTCCTAGTAGTGTGCTTGTTGCTAGTGTATTCGCTTGAAATAGGGTGCTCATGTCAGACACATGTGATATCTCTTCTCTCTACTAAAAATCTTCTGGACTGAGAATGAGGTAAGCGTATGACATCATTGAAAGACAGTGCTTCTTCATCACTACGTTGGATCGTTGGCTCATCAATGAAACTGGCTTAACTTTTTTTTTGAGAGCTTGTCTGGGCCTAGCCTTGGCTCATGATTTCTCTGCTAGCTCAACCTTGGGATAGACCCCGTTGAATTGAACGAATTGTCTCGAATTGTAGGTTTCCTTGAATCGTCGGGTGGAGTGTGAGGCTAAATCAGATTGGGGGAGTTTGCAGACGCAAATTTTATGACGCAAATGAACTCGTAATTATGGCAAGCGCGAAGCCTAGGAACGTGCTTTGCGGGATGGTTTCGGGATGCGCAAAAGTTGGGGAAAAGAGTTCAACGGATGATTCGCTCATGTTTGCCCACAAGGCAACACTGTAAGACGTTTCAACTGCTCGCAATTCCCTGCAATCCACAAAATTGCCACAGATCCAGGCAAGTGAACAAGAGCAAGAACATGTAAACAAATGATTTGAAATTTGACACGATCGCAAAAGTCACCACGAACAGCCACCAGAAATTACGGGCAATCGCCACGCCTTGTCTGCGTCTGAAACTCTCGTCCTCGGCCCTTGTCCCAGCCTTGGCCTGTAGTTGGAAGTTGACTGCTGAATATGTCCTCTTATCTTCTCATTTATCTATCTCTTTATTCTAGGTTATTATCGATGGTTCTGGGGTGTTGCAAAGCTTGCACCGAGCACATGAACATGCTAATTTGCACGTGACTCCAGGCAGGAGAGAAGGCTGAAGGCGAAGAAGGCGTGCCGATTTGTGAGAACGCGCTTGTCCTTTCAATCTTCATGTGCTCAGGTTTTGTCATATCCGACTTCCTACGCTTCTCATATGAGTGGGAAGAGCAGAAATTATGAACATGTTGAACATCTCAGAAGCAAAGACTCGATTGGAAACATGCGCCACCTCCAAAGCAAAATCCACGAGGTTTGGTTTGACTATATGGCATGGGAATAGCAAGGTTACCAGTGGAAACAAGATTTGACTTGATGCACGCCTCCTACATCATGTCGAAAGAAACACCGCCTTTATTTCTACCGGCAAATGGAACAAGAAATCCGGTTGCTTGCACACTCTTTGCTTGGCAGGTGGCCAAGATGAAAAGGACCAATGCTAAAGTTTTGATGTGAGTGGTACCGGAACAAAGGTTACCAAGTCGAGCCACTTGGATCCAGGAAGAAGAAGGAGATGGTGAAAAGAAAGAAGGCAACAGTATGGACAAGCTGTCTTCTCAGTTTGAAATGCGACTCTGTCCTTTAGAAAACAATAAAAATACCCTAAACCACTCTACAGTAAACTACTGTACTGTAATTCCGAATGCTGTTTCAAGCTGGCCTACGATGCTCTAAACTCTCACTTGCTACTATCATTGCACATCACATCGCAACACATTTGCTCCTTTGGACTGGCTGATGGCAGAAGGGTTGCTGCTTGTTGGAATTGACAACTACGTGGCTACCTACACAATCAGGCAAAAAAGGATGTATATATATATATGTATATAGGTAACCACGTAGTCAAGTCGGGCAAGTGGCTGAACAAGAAGAGTGTTGCTCAACAGGGCTGAAAGCAGATTGAGACAAATTACGTCCCTGGCAGCGGCATGAATACTAAGCTTACCAGCAATGCTAAAAATCACCCGAGGCCCGAGCAAACAGCTGTTTTTTTCAACATGTTTCTTTTTGCATGATTTAATAACTTAAGTAATGGGGCATGATCGAGGTGAAAGACCGGTGATCAATAACCGGTTTGAAGATAGCAAGTCCCTCTACCACACGTCACCATGCGGACGCATCGAACATGCACGGGGATGCACGGAGTTCAGGAAGAGTCCGGGAAACATTGTTACTAGTAGCGATGCCAGGATCCCCTAGTAGCGTCCTTTCTCCTAGTAGTAAGGCCAGGAGCCCCTAGTAGCTTTAGAGTCCGGGAAGAGATCATTTTTCCACATGTGGCAAAGGTAGGGCATGAGCATCGAGTGGTCTCTGAAGCCCTTTGAAGGCTCATGGAGTGCTGAAACGGACACGTTCAGGGAAATACTATGAAATACTGACCCACGTTTTGGTGGGAAGCCTTTCAAGGGGCGATGGGCTTCCAGGGGGTTTGCAGGCGTCCCACCAAAACTTGCTATGATCCCGTTTAAAATATACATTGCTACTAATTAGGGTGGAAGCCATCGCTCTGAGGTTGGAGGCCATCACTAGTAGGTTGGTGGTCATCGGTACTAGGGTGGAGGCCACCGCTACTAGGGTGGATACATTATCTCATTGCCGGTTCGTCAGCATCATTGACTTCAGTTCATCGAAGCATGAAGTTGGTACCCATCTTTGCTGTCACATCATTGTCATTGTAGCAGCATTGTTATCGGAAGATCATGTACCTAAATCGGGGTGGGGAGTGCGTGGACAACATCGTATATTGACAATGGATTTCGGCCAAGCGCGGCCACGCTCAGGGCTCCAGCTTGTTTGGTTCGCAGACACTGGTTAGAGAATTAGATTCAGATTGGCTGAAACTAGCGCTTTCTAGAGGTTTGAAATTTAAACACCGAACACGGTTGCAGGCAAGAGTTTTGGCACCTGTGGTTCTATCTCCAGGAAGTCTTTAAATTGACCTTTGCAGACACGAACGAAACAAATGAACTGGGTGGACAGGGCATGTAGGCTGGTCATCTGGTTTGCCAGGACACTAAACGCTTAAGGCAACACCTTCTAGGCTTGCCAGGGCAATAAATGTTTAAGACCCTTCATTACCAACAGGACACCACACTGTCGCGAAATCATATTTTTCAAAAGGCCACACATTGCCACCCCTTAGCGGAGAAACGTTTGTTGAACACTTGGACAAGTTATGTTTTTGCGGCTTTCGTTTCGCACACATTTCACACAAACATGCCTAGTGTTTTTTCGTTCGAAGGCACAGGCACGCCCTCTGAAAAGGTGTGCAACCAAATTTTGTTGCGCCAATCTGCACCAAAAGGAGTCGTAAAAATGACATCAGTAGCGGCTTTGCAAGAAACCCTGGCTTACAGCCTCACCCTGTGAAACATTCGAGGTTGTCCAACCACAACAATTTTCTACCATAGTATGGATGATGCTTGTGATATTATGTCATTATGTAATCGTTCTTGCATGTGCACAAATGGTACACTGTTAGACGCTTCGAAGGGCCTTTGTTCAGATATGTGTAAAAGTCATCCGAAAAGTTTGAAAAGGAAAGCTTCGCTTTTCCCGCTGAAAGATGCACCCGGGAGTAAAGCCCTCCTGAATCGGTGCCAGGCGAGGAGGGCGAGGAGGCGAATTTCGCACCGAATGTCTACTTCCTTTGAGTAAAGGGTCGGTCCTTCTTCTGTTGGAGAACTGCCCAGGAAGAGGAAGAGTTCAGCGAAGAAGGGCAATGGAAGTATGGAGAGTTATAACCCTAGCAAATGAAGCTCGTGTGAGTTGCCATCACCAGTGGATGAAGCGGAAACCACATCAAAGCAGTATCTACCCTTGCTCTTGAGGTCGTTTGGTTCCGCATGGACAGAGGGTGACGTGATAGGAGTCCTATTCAGCTCCAAGGACCTGAATTTGATTGAATTTGTATCCGCAAATTGTTCAGAGGATTTGATCTCTTT